TCTTGGGTGTCTGTATATACATCTGAGGTTATGTGTTTCCCCTCTCTCGTAAATTTAGCTCTTCTGTACCTGATTATGGCTGCTTGTGTTGCAACCGAAACGTCGTACGCTATTATGTTATTTTATTATTTATACGTGACTTTACCGAAAAAAACAAAGAGAAGAATTTTCCCTGTCTACAGGGGGGCATTTGTGGTTGGAAGGTGGGGCTGGCATGGTGTGAGCGGGAGGGACATGAATTACTCGGTGTGAAAGGTTGGATTTTGTGACTCACATGTTGGAAAGTGTTGCAGGATACATGTGTGTGTATGACTGTTCTCCCTGGTGTTGCAGTTGACAGAGCTACATGTTATGGGTACCGCTAGCTCCTAGAGAGGAGCTGTGTCTGTGGTGAAGTTTGTCTTCAGTGCAACACCGAGATCTCCGAACAAGCAACGTGACAATCGCCAAGCCCACTTAAGCACCTCTCCAGGATTGAATGTATGCTGTGAATGCGAGGGATGGCAGTAGCTCTAATCGGCGGCACACCTCTTGGCAGAGCCACCCACTGCCACCATCACAGTGGAGATTGGTCGACATCTCGGCGTGCCATAGCAGAACCACTGACCAGAGTGTCCACCACACAGTCGTGAACCTCTATGGGAACTATGCGAGTCTGTGAGTTTCCTTATGAGTCTATTAGTCTCAATGTGAGAGTTTGTATGATCACACCCTGTTCCCTTGTGAGTGGAACCTCAAACTCGCACACAAAACCCCCAAACCCCATACACAAAACCCCCAAACCCCCAATACAGAACCCCCAAACCCCCCACACGGAACCCCCAAGACAGATGCCCCAAACCCTCTCTACAGCAGGGACGTGCGGTCAGGGAAGGCAGGGAGGCAGAGCCTCACCTGTCATAATCCAATGTAAATAGCGGTTTCGAAAAGTAAAAAAAAAGAATAATCTAGTAAAATAAAAAATCTCCAAATTTGGGAAGCTCCACTGCAAATACAAGAAGAGAAGAGAGGTGAGGCAGCGACGAGCTCAGCCTCCTCTCTGATTGCACAACCCCTCAGTAACTGGATTGAGCTCGGACAATAAGCGCGTGCCTGTTACAATCTCAGTATGTCACCAATGTAATGGTTGTAGACCCCTTCATTTCATGTTCTCGCCTTCATGTAACTTATTTCACGTATATGTATGAAGATATCTAGGCTCGCTGGTCTCGTCATGAAACTGCAATGAAAAAGCACCAGGGGAGGCAGCTATCACATCTGCCTCAGTGACGGGGACGTATCTAACAAGCCCCCCTCAGTTAGGACACGCCCCCTCAGTGAGGCCACGCCCCCTCTGTAAGGCCACGCCCCCCTCAGTGTCTGAATCAGGCCCTGACACTAGCCAGTGCCTCACCAGCCATTGATCTCACCTCACGTCACTGCTCTACAGATTCCCAAACCCTCCACACAGAACTCGTGAACGGAACTCTCCTGGTTGTCCCTCATCTCAACCCCCCCTCTTTTCAACTTTATGCAATTTCCTACTCTGTCCCACGCACTTTCACACTCTACATTTCATTCTCACCTTCACTGTCTCACTCTGTCACTCACATTATCTCTCCCACTTTCACCCTCACCTTCACATTCACTCTCATACTCAATCTCTCTCTAAATCACTCTTTCACTCACTCTCACACTCACATTATCTCTCCCACTAACTCGCATACTCACTGTCTCACTCTCATTCTCACACTCACTAACTACTCATACTCACTGTCTCACTCAATCTCTGATTCACTTTCACACTCAACATCACACTCACTCTCAATCTCTCACGCACACTCTTCAATATAACACTCACTAACTCTTACACACACTCACTCTCACTGATACTCACTCTCCCACTCACTCTGACAATCACATTCACGAAACTTTTTCACTCAAGTCTCACTCACCAGTTACAGCACGAATGGTTGGGGGGACACGTGGCCACTCGTTAAGTGGGAGGGGTCTGAGGGTCTGACGCAACAGAGACAGAGGGGCGTGGCCATAGCCGTGGAGGTGAGTGACGTCACTGCACACGTGACTCCAGTGTAGTGAGACGTGCAGAGAAGGTAGCAGCAGTAGCAGCACAAAGAGCCGAGCTCTTGTTGCTATTCTTTACGGGGAGTGGAGACGAGGAGGAGGGTGCACAGTGAGACTCACGCTCACTCACACACTTTCAGACTCGCTGTTTCACTCTCAAACTCTGTCTCATACTGTATCACTCTCACATACTGTCGCATTCATTAATTTACTCACTCTCACACTAACTCACTATCACACTCACTCTCTTACGTTCCCGCTCAATAACTCACAAGCATTCAATCTCAAGCTCACATTCACTATCTTGCTCATACTCATTGTCTCACTCGCTCACTCACATGCACTCTCACACACACTTTTACTCTCCTGCTCACTCTCTCTCACATTCACTTCGACACTAACTCTTAAACTCATTCACACTATCTCACTTAGACTGTCTCTCACTGAATCTCACTCACAGACACCCTCGCACTCTCCAACTCATTCTCTCACTCTAACTCACTCTCACACTCTTACTCTCCCGCTCAATAACTCTTACATGCATTCACTTTCACACTCACTAACTCGCACTCACTCTCTCACTCGCTTTATTACTCTCCCACTCACTCTCATTAACTCCCCCACTCACTTATTCTCACATTCATTCACACTCACTCACACTCACTCTTTCATTCTCACTCAATCAATCTGTCTCATTCGCACTCACTCACTATCACACTCACTGTAACTCTCTCACTCACGTTGACACACACATTCACTCTGACACCAACTCTCTCACTCTCCCATGCACCCTCACAACATCAATCTCACACTTTCACACTCACTCTCACACTCACATCCCCTCACACACTGAATCTCACACTAACTCTCAAACTGACTTCCATTTAGTCTCAATCACTCATGCTTACTCACTAACTCTGATACTCACCTTCACACTATCTCAATCTCATGCATTCTCACACTTTCTCACTCACATTATCTCTCCCACTCACTCGCATACACTCTCGTTCTCACACTCCCTATCTATTCACACTCACTGTCTCACTCAAACTCTCACTCACTTTCACACTCAGCATCACACTAACTCTCAATCTCTCACTCTCTCATGTACACTCTTTCACTATAACACTCACTAACTTTTACACTCACTCACTCATACTCTCCCACTCACTCTGACACATTTACAAACTTTTTCACTCAAGTCTAACTCACCAGTCACGCAACGAATCATTGGGGGGTCACGTGGCCACTCGTTGAGTGGGAGGGGTCTGAGGGTCTGACGCTACGGAAACAGAGGGGCGTGGCCATAGCCGTGGAGGAGAGTGACGTCACTGCACACGTGACTTCCGTGTAGTGAGACGTGCAGAGAAGGTAGCTGCAGTAGCAGCACAAAGAGCCGAGCTCCTGTTACTATTCTTTACGGGGATTGGAAACGAGGAGGAGGGTGCACAGTGAGACTCACGCTCACTCACACACTTTCAGACTCGCTGTTTCACTCTCAAACTCTGTCTCATACTGTATCACTCTCACATACTGTCGCATTCACTAATTTACTCACTCTCACACTAACTCACTATCACACTCACTCTCTTACGTTCCCGCTCAATAACTCACAAGCATTCAATCTCAAGCTCACATTCACTATCTTGCTCATACTCATTGTCTCACTCGCTCACTCACATGCACTCTCACACACACTTTTACTCTCCTGCTCACTCTCTCTCACATTCACTTCGACACTAACTCTTAAACTCATTCACACTATCTCACTTACACTGTCTCTCACTGAATCTCACTAACTGACACTCTCGCACTCTCCAACTCATTCTCTCACTCTAACTCACTCTCACACTCTTACTCTCCCGCTCAATAACGCTTACATGCATTCACTTTCACACTCACTAACTGACACTCACTCTCTCACTCGCTTTATTACTCTCCCACTCACTCTCATTAACTCCCCCACTCACTTATTCTCACATTCATTAACACTCACTCACACTCACTCTTTCATTCTCACTCAATCAATCTGTCTCATTCGCACTCACTCACTATCACACTCACTGTAACTCTCTCACTCACGTTCACACACATTCACTCTGACACCAACTCTCTCACTCTCCCATGCACTCTCACAACATCAATCTCACACTTTCACACTCACTCTCACACTCACATCCCCTCACACACTGAATCTCACACTAACTCTCAAACTGACTTCCATTTAGTCTCAATCACTCATGCTCACTCACTAACTCTGATACTCACCTTCACACTATCTCAATCTCATGCATTCTCACACTTTCTCACTCACATTATCTCTCCCACTCACTCGCATACACTCTCGTTCTCACACTCCCTATCTATTCACACTCACTGTCTCACTCAAACTCTCACTCACTTTCACACTCAGCATCACACTCACTCTCACTCTCTCATGTACACTCCTTCACTATAACACTCACTAACTTTTACACTCACTCACTCATACTCTCCCACTCACTCTGACACATTCAGAAACTTTTTCACTCAAGTCTAACTCACCAGTCACGCAACGAATCATTGGGGGGTCACGTGGCCACTCGTTGAGTGGGAGGGGTCTGAGGGTCTGACGCAACGGAAACAGAGGGGCGTGGCCATAGCCGTGGAGGAGAGTGACGTCACTGCACACGTGACTTCCGTGTAGTGAGACGTGCAGAGAAGGTAGCTGCAGTAGCAGCACAAAGAGCCGAGCTCCTGTTACTATTCTTTACGGGGATTGGAAACGAGGAGGAGGGTGCACAGTGAGACTCCATCTCACACTCACCCACTCACTAACTCACTCACACACTCTTAAAGGCACTCTAACATTCACTGTCTCTCTCACTAACACTCACTCTTTCACTAAAACACTCACTAACTCTCACACTCAATCACTCTCACTCAAACTCACTCTCACACTGACTCTAACACTCACATTCACAAACTTTCTCACTCAAGTCTTACACTCACGGCAAGAACCGTTGGGCGGTCACGTGGCCACTCGTTGAGTGGGGAGGAGAGATAGGGGCGTGGCCATAGCCGTGGAGGTGAGTGACGTCACTGCACACGTGACTTCCGTGTAGTGAGACGTGCAGAGAAGGTAGCAGCAGTAGCAGCACAAGTTGCCGAGCTCTTGCGATTCTTTACGGGGAGTCGAGACGAGGAGGAGGGGGCACGGTGAGACTCGCGCTCACTCACACACTGTCCGACGCGCTGTTTCACTCTCATCCTCTGTCTCACACTCACTGTATCACTCTCACATACTCTCACATTCACTAACGTACTCATTCTCTCTCACATGCACTCTCTCACTCTCCCACTCACTCTCACAGTAACTGCTATCGCACTCACTCTCTTACGCTCCCACTCAATAACTCAGAAGCATTCACTCTCATGCTCACATTCACTATCTTACTCATACTCATTGTCTCACTCGCTCACTCACATGCACTCTCACACACACTTTTACTCTCCTCACACTCTCTCACATTCACTTTCACACTAACTCTCAAACTCATTCACACTATCTCACTTACACTGTCTCTCACTGAATCTCACTCAGAGACACTCTCGCACTCTCCAACTCATTCTCTCACTAACTCACTCTCACACTCTTACTCTCCCGCTCAATAACTCTTACAAGCATTAACTTTCACACTCACTAACTCACACTCACTCTATTGCTCACTTTATCATGCTCCCACTCACTCTCATTAACTCCCCCACTCATTTTCACATTCATTCACACTCACTCACTCATTCTCTCATTCTCACTCACTCAATCTGTCTCACTCGCACACACTCACTTACTATCACACTCACTGTAACTCTCTCACTCACGTTCACACACATTCACTCTGACACTAACTCTCTCACTTTACCATGCACTCTCACAACATCAATCTCAAACTAACTTTCACAATCACTCTCACACTCACACCCCCTCACACACTGAATCTCACACTCACTAACTCTCAAACTCACTCACATTTATTATCAATAACTCATGCTCACTCACTAACTCTGATACTCACCTTCACACTATCTCACTCTCAAACTCATGCACTTTCACACTTTATCTCACTATCTCACTAACTCTAAAACTCACGCACTCTCCCACTCACTCTAATACTTACAAACTCTCACTCTCTCATAATCACTTCATACTTTCACGCTCACTATCAGTCACACAGGGTCGGCATCGTACCCACAACTTCCTGCATCCAGACTAATAGTCTACTGGTCGACTCATGGTCCACTGGTAGACTAATAGTCCACTGGTAGACTACTAGTCCACTGGTAGACTAATGCACAGGGACAACTGCCACTGGGAGTTCCCAATGGCTGGACCACATAGCAACTTCGCCCCATATTTCCAAAGCCTGGCCTTCCTCACTGTGGAACCCAGGCCCTCAGCGATTTTGGCTCATTGCTCACTTACTGCACTTTCCTCAAAGATTGCTAAAGGTTATACCGGGAGACCTGCATCTTTGTCTGTGTGTGTAGATGGCCAAGGCTGAAGAGAAGGTGGGCTCCAGGAGCGACGTGCAATGGAGTGCGCTGCCCACATCGGACGGCGTTGCCATCGCCAGTAGTAAAACCCCACGAGGTGATAGATATGATTAGAGAAGTCATGGTGGGGGACGTCATGGTGGCCATAGTTGAAAACAAAATCAAGCATGTGAATGGTTTTGGAATAAAAATGTTGCGAGGCAGGGTGGCACAGCAGGAACACTCCTCGTGCATTTCTCTTTGGAGTCGGGATAATCTCCCCCTGCTCTACATGGGATTCCTCCAGGCTCTTCAGTTTCCTCCCACAGCGAAGGAAAATTATTAAAACATCCCAATGCAAAAAAATATAGTGTTGGTGATTATATGCAGTTCAGGCACTCAGTGGAGCTTTCTTGGGTAAACAAGCATCATACATTTTATTATCATTTCAGCAGGAAGGGCCCAATAAGCAGCCAGGTTATGTTTCATGGGTGTCCTGCGATCATTTGGATGTTAAACAAGTCTTCATGTCAAAAGTGCGGTTACATAGGTGGTGATACCAAATTTGTCATTAGTCTGTTCTTCACATGTTATAGGAATACGGAATTGGTTAACAATCCAATGGAAAAAAAACCCACTACATTGCTTAATGAACAAATTAAAGAAACGAAAACGTATTTAACAAAACAATATTATAACAATAGTTCAGTGTTAATCATCATCATTGTTCTCATGTTTGCAGAAATCTTGAAGCTCTTTGGGGATTTCCTGACCCCCACCGAGAGAAGCGAGGTCCTCACCGTGAATAACGTCTGGTATTTCGGCATCCATAACAAAGGCTTTGGCACCCAGAACCATGGCTACGATGATGTCTACAACCATTATGTCTCGGTACGACTCTCCTCAGGGCACGTAACACGTGGAGAACATACAAAGTCTGCACACTGGCAAACACCATGATCATCTGCAGAACATCCGGCCAACATACCTGACACATTCACACAATCACTCTTACACATGCCACACAAAATATTGCATCCATACTCAGTGACTGAATGAGCAGTGACTGGATCAGTATACTTAGTTGATGTGATTGCTCCGCAGGTCGAGCATGAGCACCTCAATTTCCGGTATGAGGTGTTGAAGAAGGTGGTCGGACCTTACAGCCAGATCTTCAAATGCCGTGACCACAAGACCAACACCCGAGTGGCTGTGAAGATGTGGAGACAGTCATTCAGGTAAGACTTCACAATGGCTTGCATGGAGAAGGCAGGACAGTAAATCAATTCCATCTTTATGTGGGTAGTGTTATGGTGCTCATATGTGCGGGTTTTCTCTGGATTTATGTTTAACTTCTTTCGCGCCGTACGTAGCCCACTGTATTAATCGCAGGTGTGATGAAGGACAACTGTCTTTTAGAGCGAGCGACATACTGCGTGTTGCCAGGGTCACTTCTTGTAATTAATATGAAGCTGTGGATTTCCGCTGTGCAGTGCCGAGGAAGACCACAGCCAGTGGATGGAGTACCACATCTTGCGCCAACTTCAGGGCTGGGCTAATGATGATGTCAACATTGTCAGAATCCTCGACTTTTTCACCTTCAGGGGTCACAACTGCCTCGTCATGCAGCTCATACCGAAGTACGTACCGCGCTGTCTGAGCAGCTCAACAGAGACATGCAAAGCTGGCTGCTCCACTCCATTTTCTCCTCCAGACTTGCTCATTTTTCTACAGCCACGCCAACAACCGGCAGTGTGGCGGCAGTGGTAACACTCGTGCATCATACCAAGAGGTTGGGTTCGATTGCTGACTCGGATAAGTGTCTGTGTGGAGTTTGTTCTCCCCTTGTTCTGCATGGAATTCCTCTGCATTCTCCGGATTCCTCCAATAGCAAAACACTCGCACACAATTTAACTGGCATCCGACAAATTTTCCAATTCTGAGAAAATACCTTAAAATGACTCAGTTGGGATTACACATAGGAACAATGTCACCCCGACAGGAGAACTTGGCGGGACCCTCGGGAGAAAGTGTTTACATTTAGTGAGGCTTCCATATGATAAACGAGTATAATAATTGTTGATAATTGTTATTGTTGACTCAGCCCTTTACAGGATGGCACTGACTTTGTGTTGTTGTCTCTTTAACAGAAGACGTCTGTTAAGTGCCATTGATTGCACAGCACCCCAGCACATGGAGATGACAATGGTGAAACTGTTCACCAAGTCCATTCTCAAATTCCTCATTCAACTCCATGCAAAGGGAATCGTGCATGGGGACATCAAGCCGGTGAGTGGAGACCACGTTCAGTGCAAGTGCAGCATTAATTTGAGTTCCCGTTTGGGGCTCATCTTCGTAAAACCTAGACCCATTGATCAAAGCGTTAATGCATCCACTCTGTCCAACTGTCAATAGCTGCGGGTCATAACTGTCGTACAGAGGGTTATGTATGGGTGAAACTTAAGTTTAAAGGTTTTTTGCTATTAGGGACTCGCACAAGAGAAAACCAGACACGTCGAAACAAAGCAATGCCCAAATCATGGAGACACAAACCAGTGCAAGTAAAAGGAGGCTTTGCAAATAAGCAGCTGTGCTTTAACCTGACAGCTGCCCACCTGTTTTCATGCTGCTCATGCGCATGAGAATACGTTACCAACTTCATGCATGTGCATGCTTCTGCCTAACTCAAACTCACAGCTACAAGCTCCGTTCGGCCCTCTTGTAACAATCGTTATTCAGGTATGATAAGAGCGCCCTCTTTTACGCCGGGTATCCAAGAGTGCTCTACATGAGATTATCGATTGGCATCATTTCATCTAAATACATTTGAATTGGCACCCCATTGGCAGCCGTCAGTAAACATTCTCTTGAGTCGCTTTGAATAACCTTGGCAAAAGCATGTCATCTCCAATTCCCCTTTTAATATTATGGTAATTTTGCTACATGATCAATGTTTTGCAGGCTGAATAGTTGTGCATGCCTGTAATTCAGCACTGTAGAGCCGCAGGTTGGTGGATCACACCAATGGTGTGAAACATCATCTGTGGCCTCTCCTCGTGCCTCAGAGTGGTTCTCGCTCTTCCAGATAGAGTGAATACTGCATGGCATTGGCGTATTACAAGTTGACATTATCATAACCTCTGAATGTGAATATCTTCTGCTGCCCATCGTCTAGAGGAACATGTCGATTAAAGAGCCTGGGGCAGGGACCATCCGGATGATGAGTTTTGAAAACAGCTTTTTGGTGGGACGCCAACGTGAGTCGTGAGTGTGTGGCTGAGTGTGAGAATGTGTGTTTATGCAGTTTGAGGAGCAGTAGTGTAGTGGTTAGCACACTGCACTACGAAACTGGCGACCCAGGTTCGAGTGGCGGTTTTCTGAACCGGTCATGGGCCTCCCCTAGGCAGACTCAGTCTCAAATGAGTACCTGGTGTGGTGTGTATACAATGGCACGGTGCAGGCCACCCACCCCCTTCAAGTGTCGTTCCAGACTTCATAGGTTGTCACTAATTGCACTTACCCCAACAATGTCTAAGGCTACATGGGGGAACTTTTCTTTGTTTATGCAGTGAGGAGCCGTAGTGTTGGGGTTAGTCGACAGCACTACAATCCTGGTGACTGGAGTAAAATGCGCGTTCATGAATATCTGAACCAGTCCTGGGCCTCCCCTAGGTCGACTCAGCCATAAATGAGTACCATGTGCGGTGCCTAGGCACCACCACTTTAGGAGACAAAGGTGGATGAGCGTGGTGCTGGCCACCCATCCTCGTGTGTGTTGTTCAGGCCTTCATTAGGTGCTCGCTAAAAGAAAATTCCATAGAAATTTGTTAAAGGCTATATGGGGACGTTTTGTGTGTGTGTGTGTATATACACGTGTTTGCATCTCTGCGCCTGTGTGTGTGCATGTGTCTAGACCTATGGGTGAGTACATGTGTTTTTATACTTGTTTTTTGTGCCTGTGTGTTGCTGTTAAAGGCTATATTGGTGATGTTTGTCTTTTGTAATTCACAGGTTCACAGAATTTTTGTTCCCACGCGTACCTTGCCCCAGAGGCGTACCTGGGCCACGTGTCATCTTTCCCGGTTGACATGTGGGGACTGGGTTGTACAGTGGCCGAGTTGGCTACCGGACGCATCCTCTTTCCGGCCATCAACAAACTCGACCAGCTCCCGTGTTATATGGAGGTATTGCCCACACAGCAGTAACACTGACAATTCCGTTATTGGCATCAATTTCATGACCAATTTGCTCTTGAAATCGCCCAACTCAGTCATTGCTTCTAACCACGTTCACTTCTCAGCGAGTATTTCCACATCAAGGGTATTAACATAATATTCAAAATTGGTATGACCAATAGAACATGCGACAGGAAATAGTTCCTTACAATTCCCTGAACAGACCACTTAAGTCGTCTCTTCTGTGAGAAAGAGGCATACAAGTGCTCGCGACTGGTTGCAGGGTTGTCCACACACAAGCAACTGAGTTGCATACAACTGCGTGACAGAAGCAATTACTCAGGCGTAGACCCGTCAAGGTAACCGTGAGCAGAACGCATAGATTTTTAGAGCTGGTGTTATGACTCGTGATAGATTATTGCGTGAGGCCACGGATTGGCCAAATGTAACCCTAAAACCACCTGTAAACAATTTGAATTGTCAGATGAACAAGCATTTATCACGCGAATTATTGTTGTTTCATCTCAACTGCTTGTAATGAAGACAATTGTCACAACCATATAAGCAATTTCAAATGAAGCCACGGGACCCATAACCTCCGCTGTGAATGAGGCAGATGGTGCATAGTATTTTGTGGTTTAATACAGCAGGAAAGACCAGGGCAGTCACTGGGATTGATCGGTGAACTTCTGCAACGTGTTGCGTACGCGGTTTTGCTGGGCCATGCCAATAACACTGCCGTGTGCCTGCATGCGAGAACCATCGGGAGTGGTAGCTGAGTGGTTAGCGCCCTGACCGTGTGGTGTTGAATGTTGGACCAGTCCTTGGCCTCTCAAATATCGACTAAGCATTAAATCAATACCTAGAGTGATTTGTAAAATAGCTACTGCGGTGTGGCCTTGGGTGCTGTGCCATCATCAGTAGGTGCTCATAGACAAAACATGCCACCCAAGTGTGTCAATACTGTATGGGTGATCATTGTCTCTTTGTAAATTGTGTGTAGACCCTCGGGATGCCTCCTCAGAATTTGATTGATGGCGCGCCTGGGAGAAACAAGTACTTTGGTGAGTGAAGGGGCAAGCGGGGGAACCGCATTAAGTTTGAGGCGGAGCTGGGTCTGTTAAGAGTTTAGTGGGGCATTACTTTGTATAGTTAACTACTTCCACACGTTTTTTTGCAGTCAATAATATTCATAATGCTTTTTTGGGGAAGGGTTAGACCTCATGGTGATCTGCCCAAATTTGTGTCATTAAGGCTCTCCACCACCTGACACAGGCAAGCAAATTAAAGTACCATGAAGTGCAAGCGATTAAAGAGACGCCAGTTGTGACTAGTAATCATTATTTTAGTAGAATCATCTGTAATGTAAAGGGCAATGCTCAAAACCACGTTTAGCAATCAGATCGGACGTTTTTGGGAAGCTGCAGAGGCGAGGAGACGTTTCCTCCCTCACCTGCAATGTAGAAGGTCGTCACGTGGATCCCCACCCTGGCTGCTGTCCATTGCGGGAACATATCTTCTCCCCTTTGCCTGGTCGCCTCTGAAGAAGAGGCAATAGTTCAGTGGGCTTTACCTGGTAAAAAATAATGTTTTGCTTGAAAGAGATTCAATCACAGTTAAAATAGCTCTTCTTTGTTTACCTCAAGGATTTATCATAGTTAATAAATATTGATTGCACTTGGTATTTGCGCTATCATTCTTAGAATGCAAAGCTATCACAAAGGAAGGTGCCTGCTGTGTTTCACAGAAACCAACTGCAGTCATTTCACAGTAGCGGGCATAACGCCAGCACGGTAATTTTATTACTTCACAAGGTCTGTAATGTCCCATTTTAAATCAAACAGCGCAAAGCATCATATGGTTAATACTGAAGTAATAACCAGGGCGGCTTGCAGAATTTGAACCATGAACTTCTGCAACATGCGGTCAAAGCACTCCCACTGATCTATGTCAGAGCACTAAAAGATTTTGTTTCTACGCTGTGGGTGTACAAGGGTGCTGTGGTTTGTTGTGATGTTTTAACTGGTCTGCATCGTTCCTGCAGATGGTTCGGGGATGCCTTTGATGTCCGGACAAAGCAGGGTCCCAGGCAGTCACCCCCTCTACTTGGCACTCGGGAGCCAGGACTCGGAGTTCCATGACTTCATTAGCCGCTGCCTGGAGTAAGAACACCCCCCCGCTCCCACCATACCACCGAGAGGTTTTCCCATTCAGTCACCTGGTAAAAAGAAAAGAGTTTAATAGTTTAACATCACTGGCGAAAGCTCCTCTTTGATCACTAGCTCCACCCTCTATTCTGATTATTCTTCATCTTCCAAGCCATATCTCCCATTAAACACCATTGTCCATAGTCTTGCATGTAAAAACATATACTTGCATAGAGACCCACAGACTCACGTACTTACATGGCCGATGCACGTGTAGTGACTCAGTCGGAGACAGGGTTCTTAAGGGACCTTCCTTATTCCACACGTCAGGAAACCACATGTGTCCCGCGTGCCTACGCACTAGTCACACATCCATGTTCTTGAAGGTACTACCTAGCTGGAACAGTCTGCAGGCTGTCTAGCTTGCGGCGTCTAAGGTGGTCGGAGACGGAACCGACGAAGGTGACGAACGGTGACACGGCGAGGGGATCCACTTCCAGCAACAGCCGCGAGCTCCCGTCCCGGGCCCCCTTTTATTCCCCTGGCGTGGCCTCGCCCCGCCCTTGCCACGCCCTCTTTCTCGAACCTACTAGCGGGTTCTCAGGCTTCCAGATCGATTTCTTCCTGGGCTTCCCTTTAGATCTCCCTCTGCTGATGTGTGTACTGCCCCCTGCTGCCGCTTCCCCGTCAGCAGCCCGCGTTATAACACTACACACGTAAAGAGAGACCCATATACTGTCATACACTCACATGGTCCATACCAATATCCACAGACTACGTGGTCGAAAAACATCGTGGCGTATACGTTAGATTATTGCAACTCACTAGTCTACGGGACGTCTGCAAAAAGCATTAGGAAGCTGCAGCATGTACAAGATTGTTTGCAAGATCCAACCATGTCTGTCCAGTGTTCACGGAGCTGCATTGGATTACACTTGCTAAACGAATACATCACACTCAATACACACAAAGTGCTTACCACAAATGAACCACAAATTAACCACAACACCACTGGGGCAATTAACTTTTAAATATAGATTGAAAACTACTTTTTTTTGAACTCATGATTGAATGTAGTTTGTTGTCCTTCACCAGTACCTGCAATTGGCACGGTTGGCTATGTATGGTGCGAAATAAGTTGAACATACACACGTAAGTTAATGGACACAGTAAGAGAAAAAAATTCACGTAAATACTTACATCATTATCACCCTTGCCACGTGTGCCACATATTTCTGTGTGCCTCAACAGATGGGATCCAGCTCTGCGGATGACACCAGCAGAGGCACTGGCGCACAGCTGGCTGAGGGATGAGGAAATTCCGAGGAATGAGGAAATTCCGAGGGATGAGGAAGTGCCGAGGGATGAGGAAGTGCCGAGTCAGTGTGTCCCTGTTGTGGACACATCAATCCACTCAGAGGCATCCGCCAAGGAGGAGACTAGAGAGTGGGGTGAACCCCTGCAGAAAGAGAAGAAGAAGTCACGTCTGGTTCGAGCATACAGGGCCGTATGCTCATTCTTCCGTGGCTTTAAGAAATGCACTGCATGCGACCGTAATGCTCATCCTGGGCGCGTACACATTCCACACACCGTATACACACACGCTCGCCTAAGCGAATACATGAGCAACTTCCGGTGCTAGGATCAATATCAGATCCCATCTCCTGAGTTTTTTTTACCCCTACACATATAGAATAAAACCCCTCTTAACGACGGTAATTGGTTCCATGAATACGGTCATTAAGTAAGCTGGTAATTTAACAAGTAGAGTCGACCCTTCCACATCGCGGGGGTTAGAGGTGCAGGCCCCGCGATCTGAAAAAAACAAGTTAAATGTTTTGGTCCCCTTGGTGAGCGAAGCAAGCACCTCCAGTTACTAAACTTTTTTAAATTATCTCTACATGTTCAGCCTTTGCGTGTCGTCTGCTGGCTTTTGCGTTCTTTTAGCAAACTTAACTTTTTACAAAATGTAACTTTAAAAAATAAAGTGTATATTTATGGTGTTGAAAGATACAATAGAATAATATTATACAGTACTGTACATATATTTTATGGATTTATGAGTCCCTAAACTTTTTGTGTTGTCTGCTGACCTTTGTGTGTCATCGGTGGCTTTCGCAAAACTCCCAACAACTCCCCAAAAATTCCCATTTTATTTCTTATAACGACCCTGCAATATATTGAAACCGCAATGGGGAAAGTCGCGGTGCAGAAGGGTCGACTATAATTTGGTCATTAGGCAAGTATAGGAAAGACATGTTAAAGGCTTAATTTGTTTCCATAGCATCAAAAGTTACCCCTTTTCCACCCATAAAACGTACTTTATAATGTTTAAAAAATGTATATTAACAAATAAAGTTACTAACAACATGATAAACACATAATATTAGAAGAAACATGGTTAATTCATTAATATTGCACTACAAAGTTGCATGATAAAGCGAGACGAATACAGCAATACTGTATAGAGTAAAACACAGTCCACGATGACACGCGAGATGCATATGCAGGCTGAACAATGACCAAGGTGCATGGGTAGCATCTAGATTCGCCTTGCGTGATCTTATGCCGAGGCAGCCATACAACCGCTTATTCCAACTCGCACGAAATAGTTCTATTCACTCAATCGCGTTCATCCAATTCTCATCCGCGTTATAAAAAGAATGTGTTCCTTAATACAATATTTGCGTGATGAAAACATGCTTTATAGCAGAACTGACTGTACACACATACACACTACACACACCACACACATGGGACTAGCCCATTAGTGTAGTTAGCCCTACGCTGGGCCTTGCCATCCTGGTTTTCATCCGGGCAGTCCTCAGAGGATGACCTCGCCACGGTTTCCAGGACATGGAAGGGCATAGCTGAACCAGCATTTGAGAGCTGAGGTGGCCTGGTGATATCACAGATGAAGCCAAAAAGGGCAAGTACCAAGGCCACCTGTTAACAGTTAAGATTAATTTTATTCATAGTTATATGAGT